CATGGGCTATAAGTCTATTGGACAAAATTAAAAATTGCTAYTACGTAACATTTTTTAGAATTAAAAATGTTATTCAAATCGACGGTTTTCACGGAAAAAGTCGCTAAAACATGGGAATTTCTTGGGTTAGTATTAGCAAATAATGCTGGAATATAACGGTAGTGCTTGCGAGTTAGTTTGTGTAATATACATAATATATTTTAAACGATTTGTAGCATTTTTTTTACTAAAATACTTTGGGAGTTCTCATTGCACTTTCAGCGCAATTTTGTAGTAATTTTGATCCAAAAAAATTAAACCAAAAACAATTTCAAAACAATCTTTATTTATGTAAAAGCATTTTACAACAATTTTCACTTACTATAAAACTAACAAATTTCGATAGTCGTTTATATTAAAAATCGACTATAACACGCTGCTTATATAAATTTTATTTTCTTTTTTCAATAAAGTTACCAAATTTACAAACAGTTTTAAGCAGTTTTTGATATACTTATGTACACATGAGTAAATTATTTGTTCATACAGTCAAAGTTAAAAGTATTTATTATTAATATCTTATGTCCATAAAAGTATATATTTACATAATTACAAAACTATTTTTTTACATTAGTGTAATATGTATGGATAATACCAGAAATATCACAACATACGTTGGCTTAGCGCAACAAGCTACTATAAAAGTTTTTATTTTTTAATAAATACGTGGAGAAGTCCGGTTTGCCTTTTTGCAATTTATAATGTAAATATCTTAATATGAAATTCTGAAACTCTCTTTGGCTTCAAAAACATTTTTAAACTAATTTTTTTTCTATTTTGTAAAAAATTATACTTCTTTCGAACTTGAGGCTTATTGCCAACTTGCGCCTTAAAAACTATCTAGTTAATATTTTTTTATGAACAAAGAAGTGAAGGAATCTCGCTGCTAAAACTGCTACTGAAGCGGCCCAAACTCATGCTGAGGTTCGAGTCGAAGGCGGCTTGCGTCTGTGAGCGCGGATCGGTCATCAGTGAGCAGGAGATGGGCACCGCTTGGCAGCAGATACTGCTTGAACGCCGCCGTGGTGAGCGTATATACTATCGGATTCAAGCCGGAGTTCATCAGCAGCACGAGCACGGCGAGCCAGGCGTGGAACGAGGGTGAGATTGCGCAGCACGAGAGCGCTGCCACCTTGACGACAGTTGTAATGATTAACGCGAAACTCTATGAAAAAGAAGAGGAAGATAAATGAGGTGCATTATAAAAAATAGTGGGGTTGACAACAGGTTAAACACAGAGTTAAGTTAAAACCAACTATCTTAAACTTCATAAGACTTCCGGGGTAATCAAATGCTCTCTATCCCCTCTACGTCTGACAAATGCTTTATTTTTTCTCTGTTTAACCTTTTCTAACGATTTAATAAACAGGTGACTTAGACAGCATAAACCCGGTTCATTAGCTTCGATTGAAATTATACACTATTATTATTTTTCAAAACAATTTCAGTGTTTAAGCACCAAAAGCTTTAAAAGTTGTCAAATTATTTGATAAATAAGCCAATTAAAACTACGGAAGTACTTTTTTCAGAATCTGTTAGATTTCAGCAACGTCCTTTCTTACCCCAATATGCTTCTAAGCTTCTGACTTAATCCGAGAAGTTATTTTGTGAAGTATTTTTCGGTACTCGAGTCATATATAGACTAAATTTTGATTGAAAAGTTAATCTAATAACTGCGACTAGCACCGAAGCTTCGAATATCAATTATAGTTGTTATTTGCTGAATTTATGTACGTTATTAACTGTTTCAGCGGGATGATTTAATCTCAAACCGATTGGGCATTCAGCAGTCTATTCAGCTAACGTGTCAAAAGGCCTGAAAAGCCAGTTATGTACAACCTTCAGCGCTTTTGATTAACTTTAAAGCGCTTACGCATTCAGCTGTTTATTCAGCTAACTTTTTTTGAGCAGAATAAGTGACAAAAGCAAATTAAAGGCTGCAATTAGCCTTCCTTTTACTGTTTCAAGCTTTGGAATAAAAATACCACTTTACCAATTTAMAAAAAAAAAAAAAAAATGCAAATAAAAAAATCTAAAAAATATAGAAATTCACACCTTAAAAGAAATAAAAAAAAAATAAATAAATTTAAAAATATAATATAATTTTATTCCAAATATCAGTATAATTATAAAAAAAATATACAAAAAAATAAAAAAAATTATGAAATATAAATTAATTTTTTCCCAATATGTAGTATAAATTTAAAAAAATATATATTATACTTTATATTCATTAAAGTACAACAAAAAATAAGTGAATATGTAAAACAAAGTGCAAAAATTAAAAAACTACACAAAACTATACTATCAAACGAAAAAGCAACCAATTATGAGAAAAGGTTTTTTTTAACCATAAAGCACTGAATTTTATATGGTAAGTGAATTATTATGAAATTTCCAATGATTTTTTATCACATTATTTCTAAAATTTTAATATAAAAATTATTCTCATGCCGCCTTAGAGTGACTTTATCATTAAGTTTGATGAGAATTTTAACTTTGTTTTGAAATGTATGTATATGTGTTTATGGGTATATTGTATCTGTTTATAGGTTGCCATAATTTATTATCTTTGTATAAGCAATAAGTGTAAGCATTTCACAAATAGTTATAGGAAGCGCTGCTAAGACGTGGAATCTTGTTGTCGGCTCCGTAAACCCTCCAGCTGCAAGCCCCATGTAAACCTTCAAAAGTCAATTAATGACATTTTTTATTCAAGTTTTGGCACTACCTATTAGCGAATTATTGTCAGAGTGTTATGTTGTGCCGCAAAGAAAATTTGTGTAAACATCGTGACCCGATTATTAGTGTTCTGCTTTAACCTAGACATAAATCCTGTCGTTGAAGCAGATGTTGCGCACAACGCGCGCCATCTGACAGAAACAGCAATGCCACATTCGTGATGACAATGCCACATTTGCGACCGCAGCGGCAATGAAATGAATGAGGAATGAAATGAGCGCAGAGAAAAGTGGCGGCGGCAAAGAAAAACAGCGTACGAAGCGAAGGGAAGGCGTATTGTAAAAATGTAAGAAAATTGTGCGGAGCTTTTTAATTACAAATTCAATTGCAATAAATAAACTATTACAATAACAACAGTGTAAACTGACAACAGCAAACCTAAGAAGCTGCAAACGGAAAAGCAATTGAACTGTTCGTCTTTATAACATAAGTAGGCAGCCACAATAACAACTTGGAATCTCTCCAACGACTACAAAAAACGCATGCAACTGTGGTATTGAAAAAAGAAAAAATAAAAACAAAACAAAAAATAACCAATAAGGCAGTTACAAAAATAGTTGAATCTTGCAAAAAAAAAAAAAATAAATCGTTTAAAGAAATAATATAATAAAATATAAGTAAAATATTTAAAGATAAGAAAATCAAAAAATATTAACTTCGTGTGCAGCTAAGCTGTAATACCCTGCACAGGTGCATTTCTTATTGCATAAAAGGGTATTAAAATATATCTTGATTTTGATCGGTCGGTTTATATGCAGCTATATACTATATATGCTTCACGGAAGCGTTGGGATGTCGGTCTTGGTTAGGTAGCTGTTCACAAGAAAGGCGACGTGAGCCGGAGCGTTGTCGTGGTGCAGCTTTCAATCGGCTGCGATGTCGGACCCGATTGACCCTTCGTTTGAGTCTCTTGAGGACTTCCACGTAAAACTTGGCGTCGATGGTTTGTTCAGGAGGAACAAATTAATGGAAGACGATGATCTGAGTTAAAAACTTTGAGTACGCGAATCACATTGTCGGTGTTTGTCGAAATCGCAGGTCTCTCAGCACGGTCTTCGTCAGTGACCTCTTCCCGCCCTCCAAAAAAGCTTGGTGCCACCGAAACACACCACTTCTTGCTAAAGCAACATCTGAGTAAGCCAGTCAAGAGTACAAGTAGTTCGCGTTTATACAAATGGATTTGGCTAAATTGACAGAATATAGAAATATAAAACAGTAAAAAAAGCGAGAAATTCAAATTAGAGTTACAAGCAAACAGTGCTGCTGAATGCAATGACACTGAAATCTCCGCGCAAGCTCCGCAAAGATAGGCAAAAAATTTCGCTTCCTTCGCTGGCGGTGTGGAACCTTCAATTTTAACAGTCAATTATGAAGGCCAGCAACATGTTTATTATTATTATGTTCGTTGCAACAACAAGAGCAACAACTGCAGCTAGCTGGCAATGGCTTGGCGCATTCTCCAGAACCCACTGACTTACTTTTAGCCGCAATGGCAACAACAGCTACTGCGGCAACGGTTGCTCCACATAAACAAACGAGTCTCTCTGTTGTGTTGTAGTTGTCGTTGTTGTTGCTGTTGTAGCTCTTGCAACCTGACCGCTTTTGGTTGGCAGACAAAACAAAAACAAAAGCAAAAAAGAACACATAAATAGTTCTTTGAAGTTGATATTCAACATTTGGCAGAAAAGTGGCAGATAGAAAATTGGCAAAGCAGCAGCTGAGCTGAGCTGAGCAAAAACAAAAACAACAGCGAACAACGGGAACACAAATGCAACAATAGTGGAAAATGATTGCAACAAATAGAATCGCCGGCGAAACTACTATTTGACCACGAATTCTTAAAAGAAAGCTGCAATTCAGCAGAAGACCGTTATTTTCATTATTAAAAAAAATTGCTTATTGTTATTAGGTGCCGTTATCAGATGTCCGTTTTCAATATTTTCGACACAACTGTACTCTTTTGCACGAATAATATGGGAATCAATATATTTATTGGGAAATTCGAAGTTATACTAGGGAAACTGGTTTTATGATTATTAATTAAAATAAATTATAAGAATAGAGGGAAGGTTAAGGTCAATTTCAAGCCTAGATACATACAGGTTTGGAACTTAAATAACTAGACTATCGGAAATCAAAGCTGCTTGTCTTATACTTCAATCAAGACGAACAGACTATTAATACAGTCGGATTTACGTAATTGTCAAAATCGTAAAACGTTTCTTGTTGCTGTTGGTTGTCGCACTCTTGTTTAATCATTCTTTCACAAAATTTTTTTGTTGCAGAAGCTTTTTTGTAGTCTTTTATTGACTACTTGACTTCCTTTGTCCCAATTTGTGTAAATCAGCTCATTCGCCAATATTAAAGTAAAATGATTCTCATCAATTTCCATTGGCCCGCTGGGTCTCCTACACAATTTCTGCTAGCTTTCACGCGGTAGCAACTGACAATCGGCCCATCTAAGCACGGCCGCTGAATACTGGCAGCCCAAATGCCAGCGCAACAGGTGCAAGAACTGGTCGTAGATAAAATCAGACACTAGAAACTACAGGAATTGCCGCTGATATTGTTGAGCAAAAACACAAAATGAGGTCATCATGCCATCGCTTCGGTTTCGGTTCAATTAGCAAGCAGAGTGAATTTGCTGCCTGTAAGCTCTAGCGCTGCTCTGGAAACTTTTGCTGGCCGCCTTAAAAATGTGCAAAAGCCAGCGACGGGCGAAGTCGTGACACACATGCAATCGACGCTTACACCCAGTGTGCGCCTCTGTGCCGGTGGGCACGTGAGTCTGGTGCAGCAACAGGTTTCTCGCGCGTGCCAAAAGCAGCCAAAGGCCGCGTGCAAACGAAAAAATATGTAGAAAATTTGTGAAAAATAAAAAAAAAATGCCACAGACCGGTGTATGGTTTGGATATGTGCCCCAGGTGGGCTCCCATTCTAGCTCAATTCATCACAACACATAAGGTGGAGAAAAATTAATTCATTTCTTTCCCAGAAAGGTATTTAGAAGTATTTTTGTTCAGAAAAGCAAATTACAGCTTGGCAGACTATTCTTCAAATAGTCGTGTGATTATTTGTTTCTTTCATAGGTTTAAACTAAAAGTTGATTTAAGAATTTTGGGTAACGCGCCTCTTTGCCGACTTTGTGAAAGAAAAGAAAGTTATTTTATATTATAAAAATTGGAAATCCACTTCAAATAAGGTGTAGAATATGAGGCTATTTAAGTAAACAAAATAAATAATAAACACGATGATGTTATTAAAAACATTGGTAGTTAATCGAAGCGTCATACCAAAGGGCTAAAATGGAGCACAGAAGCGGATAAATACACGGATCGAAAAGGAGAGCAGGATATCGACCGGAAATGAAATTACGGTAAAGCACATCCGAGCCGGAAGTCTAACAGAAAGCTAAAAGCCGGA